AGCTAGAAAGCTACACATTTCCCCCTTAAGCTCCCCCCGCATTTGACTCCTGGGGCAGCTTGACTCCTGGCTAAGTGCTGATAGCTGTCAGGGCTTTGACCAGTCTGAGCTACACCTGGGTCAGCACTTAGCTCCCCCACTGAGCTAAGTTTAAGTGATGGGAACTGGGGGATAGGGGCCGTCAGAGCTGGTGTTGCCTGCAGCCAGTGGTGGCCCTAGACCTACACGGCATAGGGCACTACTAAATTTGGACCACCGCTGGTGCCCCACATGCAGCGGGGTCCCATGCATCAGCAGATGCCTAAGACCGGCCCTGGGGCTGCAGCAATAAAGAGCTGTCATCAGAACTGTTTGGGGGGAGAAAACAGGTGAGCAATCCTGGGCAGCGTGGCGGGACTCGTGGGTGGCACGTGGCCCTTCCTTGCTACCCTCTCGCGTTCTTTGCCCCGTCCAGGCTGTTGTGCCAGCAGAGACACAGGTAGGGAGCAGCAGGGGCTGCCCTGCCTCCTCTCCCTGCTTTGTGAGGCTCGGCGGGCGCGTCAGAAGTCCTCGCGCTGGTCCCTCCCCTGAAAGCAACTTTCTCTTTTGCAGCCACCTCCTCCATGCGGCACACGGAGGGCAGCACTCCCACCAGGCCATCCGCGCCCGGGGGCCAGCAGGAGAAGGCGTCGCTGAGGCTGGCCTCAAGTGGGAGCGCACAGGTAGCGAGCCCTCCGGGCGACTTTTGCAGCCGGCGCTTGGCGTCATTTCCACGGGGGTGGGGAGGGGGGTCGTGTTAGGCGGAGGGTGCAGGGCAGGGCGGGTGACCTGGCTTTCACAGGAAGTCCAGCGAGCTGGTCGGGTGCGTCCTACTGCCCTTATGGCTCCCAAGGAGCTGGGCTCACCCGCGGCCCTCGCACAGTGGTTGTGATGACACGGTGACACAATGCTTGTGATGACACGGCGGAGCAGCGGTGCAGGGTTGTGGAGCACGGGCGGCAGCCACGGCCTGGGGTCACTCCGGGAGCCGTATGACCCAGACCAGGGTGGCAGGGGAATGGCCTTGCTGTCCCAGACCCTCCACTGGCTGAGCACCTGGACACAGGGCTGGTAACAGACTTCTCCAGGCAATGGGAGGGGGGCTTGGCTCCGGGTCCCTGGAAGGGGCGGGGCCTCTGGCAGACGGGATGGAGTGAGGGCAGCCAGTTCTCAGTGCCACGCCTCCCACACCCAGCCCTCAGAGCCACCTGCACTGCGCCACGCGGGGCTCTGGCGGCAATTTAAAGGGCCAGAGCAGCATCAGTGGCCGAGAGCCCCGGGCCCTTTTATCACTGGAGGCGGTGACGCTGCAGGCACACACCCGGCCTTGTGGTGCCTGCGCTTGATTTTTGCTTCCCCCGACATAAGAACATAAGAACGGCCGTACTGGGTCAGAACAAAGGTCCATCTAGCCCAGTAGCCTGTCTGTTGACAGTGGCCAGCACCAGGTGCCCCAGAGAGGGGGGACTGAAGACAATGATAAAGCGATTTGTCTCCTGCCATCCCTCTCCAGCCTCTGACAAACAGAGGCCAAGGACACCATTTTATCCCCTGGCTAATAGCCTTTTATGGACCTAACCTCCATGAAATTATCTAGCTTCTCTTTAAACTCTATTATAGTCCTAGCCTTCACAGCCTCCTCTGGCAAGGAGTTCCACAGGTTGACTACACGCTGTGTGAAGAAGAACTTTCTTTTATTAGTTTTAAACCTGCTACCCATTAATTTCATTTGGTGTCCTCTAGTTCTTCTATTTAGGGAACTAATAAATAACTTTTCTTTATCGGCCCTCTCCACACCATGCGAAGCCAGTTGTCCCAGGCATTGTGGGAAATTTCAAAATAAAGCGCAATTCCGACAAGTCCCTTAACCCTCATGGATGCTGGACTAGCCCACCCATTATTTCGAAATATATTTAAAGACGTGGAACTGGTACTTCTGGTAAATACACCACGGTCTAGACGTAGCCTAAGGGAGTCTGCCTCGGACTAATTTCGAGGCTTCCAGTAGTGTGGACACGCTATTTCGAAATAGTTATTGCGGGGGTTATTATTTCGAACTCACTTCCTAGTGTAGACATGCCCTGAGGAAGTAAAATATCTCGGAAACGCGAGGCATTCAGCAAGGTAGGAAGGGCCTCTCCTCAGGCCACGGGAGAATTTCTTCCCTGGCATCTGGCCAGCGCCGACACTTTGATTGTGTTATCCCGGGGGCATCCACTCTCATTCCTGGAGTGGATCTGGCACTCAGTTCCTCCCGTGGCCCCACGTTAGGTCTAAAACCGTTGTTCTCTTTCCCAGGCCCTCGTAACTCCTCAGACACCTGCCGAGCATCATGCGCCGCATCACATGGCCCAGCCGGCCGTCCCCTCGCAGCAAGCAGTGATGGTACGTGGTTTATCTTTGTTCTCATCGTGGTAGCCCTGGCCTGGCCAGCATAAGGCGAGGTCTGAAATCCTTGCCCAAGAGACTCAGCTGGCTTGAGTTAGCAGTGTTTTCCCCTCATGGCTGGAGGCCCCCCCAGCTTTGAGAGCGGGAAACCGTTGGTCTGGTTCCAGCAGCAACGTTCTCCCCGGTTATTTTAGCTGTGTCTGTGGTGTCGATCGGAGCAGCAAGTGCAGGCCCCTCCCATGATGGCTCTTGAGCGCGCCGTGACATGAACGATACGAGCAAATGCCACTTGGGTCAGAAGCCAGAATTTGACATGCTCCTAGTTCAGCTGTTTGCATCCCTTCTTTTTCTCTCGCTCAGTCACGACTAGATCCTGGCTTTCCCCGGAGTAAGGAGCCGTGTGCACTCGCCCTGCCCCACAAGCAGCCCAGGGACCAAATTGTGACTCCGAGCGTCCTGCTCTGGGCCCTGTTTCCACCTTTCCTCGAACGGCCCTTCCAGGTTCCCTCCAAGCTGCGCGGCAGCACGGCCCTTCAGCTGCTTAACGAGCCCTGCTAATGGCTCAGGGTTCCACGGAGCTACCTGGTTGAGGGAGGGACACTTCTCCCTCCACGACAGCAGCAGCTCCCTGCTGAGGACCGAGCAATGAGTCTCTCCCAGTCCATAGGGACACGGCCCCTGGGGAGAGTCTCGCTGCTCTGTCCTCAGCAGGGAACTGCTGCTGTGGCAGAGGGAGAAGTGCTCCTCCCACAGCCAGGCACCTCAGTGAGCGGAGCCCTGAGCCAATAGGCGAGGCTTGTTAAACAGCTGCGGGGCCGTGCTGCCGTGCACCTTAAAGCAGCGTTTCTTAAGCTGTGTTCTGTGGAACGCTGGGGTTCCGTGCGCAACTTGCAAATGTACCGCGACTTCTTGTTTGTTTTTGTTACTTCTTTGGCGTTTGGGTGTGTTTTTTCTGCTTTTCTCGGTGCCGGATGGAAGTTTGGGAGGGACACGTGGCCATTAAAGGGGCCACGACAGCATTTCGGTTACTTCCCGGCTCTTTTTTTGTTTTTTTGCTCAACAAAAAACACCTCAAGTGTTCCACATAAAAAAATAGTTTGGTGTTCCGTATTCTTAAAAAGGTTAAGAAACACTGCCTCAGAGAGGACCCTGGTGCTCTTGTCCCTGCAACAGATTATGAGTAGCTGCCCAGCCCTGTACATAAGGGGGCTCATGACTTTGTCAGTATTTCCATTGACTTTTCTGAGAGGTGCATCAGGCTGGTAGTCCATTCAGAATAACATTCTGGGTACGTCTAGACTACAGGGTTTTGTCGACAGAAGTTTTGTCAACAGATACTGTCAACAAAGCTTCTGTCGACAAAGAGCGTCTAGACTACATCCAGTTCTGTTGACAAAGCAAGCTGCTTTGTCGACATGACAGTGTAGACGCAAAGGACAGTGTAGATACAATAACACCTTCTGTTGACAGAACTCTGTCAACAAAAGGCATTATTCCTCATACAACTGCTGAGTTTTGTCGACGTTATGTCAACATAACTCAAAGGCAGTGTGGACACAGGTATAGTTTTGTCGACAAAAGTCCACTTTTTTCAGTCTAGATGTGATTCGCCGGAAAATAAGCCCTACTTGAAAGTAGGAATAAGAGATCCTCCGGAAAAGGGCTTATTTTCCGGAGAATCACGTCTAGACTGGCACTTTTCTCCGGCTTATCCCCAAGCCAGAAAAAAGCAGCAGCCATGTAAATGCAAATGCCGTGGGGGATATTTAAATCCCCTGCGGAATTTGCAATTCCGAAGTCTACATTAGCATTCCTTTTCCGGAAAGGGGTGCCAATGTAGACACAGCCTTACAGTAAAACGCCTTCCATAGCAAGCACCTACCATTTAGCCATTCACTGCTGCAAGAAAGAAGTAGAGCAAAGTAAAACCAAGAAAGCGTCCCTAGGGATACAGCCTTTGATAGGAAGAGTCGACAGCTCCCTAATTCACCACATCTGAAGAAGTGGGCTGTGCCCACGAAAGCTCATGGTACCAACTACAAGTTTTGTTAGTCTTTAAAGTTCTACCAGACTATTTGTTGTGTTTTAAGTTTATCCTGTTACAGACTAACTTGGTGAACCTCTGAAACTTCTTAAATTTTCAGGACAAGTAAAATTACAACCCAAATGTAGCTCATCACTGGGTGATGCCGCATTTTATGCTCATTTGAGTAACTCTAGCATGAGACCAGTTAGGTCCTCGGCTTAAAAGTGCCCAACACATCAGTTTTCAAGGCTTTTCCATCGGGGACGCTTCCCATATTTTGAGAGTCTGCCTGTTCTCGGCCAGAGCGTTGGCTTTTCTGCCGTCAACGGCAGCTGTATTAGCTCCTCCGGCTGCTAACAACAGAAGTGCTAACCAGGAAGTGGCTTCTCTTCTCCACAGCCAGTGTACCACTTCCCAGCCCAGTTAGGGATGATGCATCAGCTTAAAGAACAGCTGGAGGAGAGGACGCGTATATTGCAAGCCGACATCAAGACGCAGCAAGAAGAGCTCCATGTGATCAAAGAGCAGCTCCAACTAGTGCAAGATTCCAACCTGCAGGTACATGGCTCTCTTCCAGTGGCCCCACCAGCCTCCAAATCTGATTCCCTGAGCCCACATATCACTTGGTTTTATCTTACGTGTCAGGAAGGTCCAGATTGGTAGGAAAAAGAGAGCAGTGGGGCATTTCTTTCCAGCCACAAGGGGCGGGGGAATTAGAAATGAACCCCGTTTACATCAGCAACGTATTCCTAAACCGTTGAACTTTGGCAATTCCTAATAGAAAGGAAGATTTAGGCTACGTTTACACTGTCATGATTTTCCGAAAATGCTTTTAACAGAAAAGTTTTCCGTTAAAAGCATTTTCGGAAAAGCACATCTAGATTGGCAGGACGCTTTTCCACAAAAGCACTTTTTGCAGAAAAGCGTCCGTGGCCAATCTAGACGCGGTTTTCCGCAAAAAAGCCCCGATCGCCATTTTCGCGATCGGGGCTTTTTTACGGAAAACACTACTGTGCTGTCTACACTGGCCCTTTTGCGCAAAAGTCTTTCGGAAAAAGACTTTTGCCCAAACGGGAGCAGCATAGTATTTCCGGAAAAGCACTGACAATCTTACATGAGATCGTCAGTGCTTTTCCAGAAATTCAAGCGGCCAGTGTAGACAGCTGGCAAGTTTTTCCGCAAAATAAACTTGCCAGTCTAGACACAGCCTTAGTGTTTGTAACAGCAGGGCTGGAGGGTTTTTGCTCCCCTGTTGTTTAAGTATCAAATGGGTCATTGCTTGGATCAAAAAAATTCCAAAAGTTTAAGTCTCATTAAAAAGTCACCTATTCATGCAGAGTTTTAATGACCGGGTTAGACTGTAGAAGCTCAGTAGCAGATTGACAGCGAAAACTGACCGGGTTAATAGGATTGGGGTGGACCTGGATGCCATATGGCTGTTGGGCACAAGCGAACATTTGATTTTCTGTTATTCACAGTTCACTATCTTATTGTATTTTATGATTCGGCAGCTGCTGGATAATGTCTGTTGACTGACACAGTGTGTGAGTTGGTGACACATTATAATCAAGTGCGGAGTATTCTGAAAACACTTACTCACGGGGTGCAACTGTTATATGTGAAATACACAGGCCCAGTTTGCCAGGGACTGGCGCGTAGGATTGCAGAGGGAAAGGAGCAAAGAGCAAGAGGGAAGGGAGAAGATTAAAAAAAGCAACACCCCACACAGCGCAACATTTACAGTGGGAACCAGGGAGGCTGTGAGACGCTGCTGCTCGGGGTACCCTCAGTGCTACCTTCAAGTCTGTTGTACATCACTTAAGTACCACACATAGCTAGCTAGAGCATTTGTGGCTAATGATTAAGCACCATCTAGTGGCTATTTCAATAATTACAGTAGTTGGTTCTAGACATTAAGACCTCAGGCAGGTTTCCTCCAACAGAAATCAATGCATGCGCTTTTAAAGGTCAGCGAGTGGAGAACTTTATTCCAGTGAGAATAAAATCACTCCCGGTGGCTCATTACAGGATGAAGAGCTACAGTCGCTGGTGAGAAACAGCCTATGCTTTGCTGTTTGAGGAAACACAGTATTTGTGTTCCACACTGGCCATGGCATAAAATGTCCACAAGTTGCAATAAAAGCAGCATTGGCACAGACTCATCCTGCAGTAACACACACACGCACCGACCCCGTATCCTTACCTGCCACACAATGCCATAAACCAAGAGACTCGTTTTTAGCACAAGTGAAAGGGTTCTGTAGCATGCTGTTCACTGGCTCTGAATGCTTACAGTCTACTTGCCATGTTCATTTGGCAAGCCGGGTAATAGGGTTTTCTCATGTGATGAGGTTAGCAAAGGTTGGTTGTCTCTTTTCTCTTAATGTTGCATTTGAACAGGATGGCTACGTCTACACTGGCATGATTTTCCGAAAATGCTTTTAACGGAAAACTTTTCCGTTAAAAGCATTTTCGGAAAATCATGCCAGTGTAGACGTAGCCCCAGTGTCTTCAGTATATCGCGCAAAAGTCTTTCGGAAAAAGACTTTTGCCCGAACGGGAGCAGCATGGTATTTCCGGAAAAGCACTGATGATCTTACATGAGATCGTCAGTGCTTTTCCGGAAATTCAAGTGGCCAGTGTAGACAGCTGGCAAGTTTTTCCGGAAAAGCGGCTGATTTTCTGGAAAAACTTGCCAGTCTAGACATAGCCAATAGGTTTAGGCAGCAGGCCCGAATCCTCCCTAAGGAATTAGAGGACATATATTGTTCATTATATTATACAGGATATGCCCTGCTAGTGATAGCAGGTGCATCATAACTGATACCAATTTCAGGGGAGGGGAAACATCCTATAATTAAGGAGAGGTGGCTGTTCCAATCAAATCTGACACTAAAGAAGGCAATGATCACTCTTCACCAATTCGATTAAACCATGAAACAAACAAGTAGATACGACACTAAAAATAATGACAAGCCAACATGTGACAGCAAGTGCCGGAGGTTGGTGACGCTGGAATAGGGCCTGGTCTACACTAACGGGGAAAGTCGACTTAAGATACGCAACTTAAATTGTGGTTTTAGGCTGTGCACACAAAGGGAGGTTGATAGGAGCATTGACTTTCCTTACTCCTCGTGATGAACAGGACTACGGGGCCCGAGAGGAGCACCCTCTCAGTTTGAACTGGCAGGTCTTCACTAGACTCGCTGATTCGAACCCCGGCAGATCGACTGTGGCAGCTTGTATCTTCTCTGTAGTGTTGACATGGCCTAGCTGAGCATGCTTGAACTCCGGAAATGTTCTCCAGAAATGATTTACACGGACATTTTTTTGGCATCCACAGACTATTCTGTCATCCCTTTAATAAAAAAAAAAAAAAAAAAATCACCCCAGTGTGAAATTGTTTTGTGACACCAAAGCACGCCTGCCGCATAGATTAATTAGTTTGCGTTTCAGCCGTGCGTTGGATTTGTCACTGATCAGACCACATTCTGGTGCAACTAGAACAAGCGTCACTCTGTCCATTTCCTCCTTTTACACAAAAGTCTACAATGTACTGAAAAGTAATTCATTTTTACCAACTGAGAGCTGGCCTTGACTAAACTATAAGTTGATCAGATTTACGGTGTATCTAGGCGCTTTCATTGGCATGAACTTGTATTTTAGATGTCCACTATACTCACGGTAGAAAAGAGGTTGAAAGCGAGAAAAGTACAGTCGATCATTCTAACTGGGTATCCAACACCAATGATTCAGTCAGATATGGAGGAGGGTCTGGAGGGCTGGTAAACAAATCAGTCAATAGCTGAGAAAGGCTTTGTTCCTGTGCTTCTTTAGGTAGTTTCTGGAGTCGATGGCATAGGGTTTATTTGTATTCTTCGGTGGGATCAGAGATTAGTGGCCTGTAGAACGAGGTATGGGAGAGTCATCAAGCAGCCTCCTGTTCGTAATCAGACCTATTCATGATGACGACAGCACCCCCTGTGTCAGCCTCTTCTAACAAATATGCTTAATAACCTGCTCTGGATAGTCACCACTTCACTGCTACAGAATGTAGCAACTTCCACCAGCAACTGTGGCCTTGTCCCTAGTACCATTAGTATCAGAGCCTGAAAATGGCCATATGCACCAAAGCCTTGGGAGGGCGTAGAACTGTAATTGGCCCATGTGAGGCTCCGTGTTCCTTTAGTCCGTCTCTGACTGACGCATACACCCCTCCCCCCGGTACGTGTTGTGTTCTAGGCACTCACAGGTTCCGACTATGTCACAAAAGCTTGTCCCCCTGGCAAGGTGAAACAGTCGGTAGGCCAATACCAGTGTCACAAAAGCTGTCCGAGTCCCGTGGTTTTCAATTGTGACTCAACTTACCTGCATTAGAACTAGCAAACTACAGGTTCAACTTCTCTCTAGCAGGACTCTCTGGTCCGACTTCCTAGTACCATTAGTATCAGAGCCTGAAAATGGTCATATGCACCAAAGCCTTGGGAGGGCGTAGAACTGTAATTGGTCCATGTGAGGCTCCGTGTTCCTTTAGTCCGTCTCTGACTGACGCATACACCCCTCCCCCCGGTACGTGTTGTGTTCTAGGCACTCACAGGTTCCGACTATGTCACAAAAGCTTGTCCCCCTGGCAAGGTGAAACAGTCGGTAGGCCAATACCACATTGCTGGCAAAGGCTCTCGTTTTACTGGGAATAGGGACTCCCCTATACCTGACATTAATGTATCTATGCAGCAGAGCCTTGGGAACACTGTCGTTGGCACTAGCCATCCCGTGCGTTGCACTAGCGCTCGTGGGGGGGCCGGCAGGGCGATGCATTCACACATGAAACGCCGAAGCCGCTGAACCCACTCACCTGTCTCTTTCCTGCAGATGTTGATGCAACAGCCTATGCCCGTAGTCTTTAACAACGTACAGCCGCACAGCCCAAGGCGGCCGTCTCAAGCGCAGCAGCCCGGGGCGACCAGGCAGACGACCGCCAAGAAATCTCAGCCACAGGGCCTTATGGGATCCAAACACTACAGTGCCCCCCACTTACCATCACCACATCAATTCCTCAGGGAACCGTCGGTCACGTCCTCCCAGGTGGCTAACTCCTTGGTTTTCCTCAGTAGCCAGCGAATGGTCGTTATCAATGGCTCTTGTCATTATTGGGTCTTGGCTCATTTAGGGACAGAGCCATCCCTAGGGCAACTCCACCTGACATGGCGGCAGAGCTGGGCCATAGGCCTCCCGCTGCTTTACCCCCCCCCCCTCCACTAACGAGCACAATTCTCCTCTTGCCGTCTGAGGCCAGGTTCCATGCTGTAGTGCGGGAGGAAGCGCGATTTGGTCCCGTGACGCCAGTTCCGCGCTCAGCTAGTGCCGCGCGTATCTGGAGTCGTTTAGCAGGCCTGTAAGCGGGGCGTGGGTGCACCCCTCCCCCTCCGAGTCCTTCATGGTCCCTCGCGCCGCTGAGTCCAGCCAGCCTGGGGAAGGCAGGGGATGGCACGTTGCCCCAGCTGCTCTCCCCCATGCTCTGCTCAGCGTGGGGAAGGCAGGGGTGACACATTGCCCCAGCCTCTCTCCCCCGTGCTCCAGCCAGCTAGGGCTGATTCTCCCATCCTTCCCCAGGAGCAAGGCTGGGGGCAGGGCTGGGCCACAGCGGCAGGGCAGCTACCAGCCCCGTTCATAGCTTGCGTCCCTCTCCCACAGAATTTCCTACATATGGGCCTGCTTAGTGATCCATGGGGGGTACCTAGCTCTAACTGAAGGCATCAGCTTAGACGTCTGACTCCAGTAGTGGGGCCTCCCAATTTTTCTGGCACCATCTCACACGAGCGCCCCCATCAGCCCTGTGCTGTTACGTTGGCTGCTCCTGAAAAGACAGCTCAGTTTTACTGCAGTCGCCCGGCCCCTGGCGGACGGCCCTGAGGGGGTCACTGTTTGTAGCGGTGCGGGTGGCACCCACCCACACACACAGCGCCGCTGTTGTATTCTGGGAGCGGGCAGTGTCATTCCCACCAGACGCTGCCCTCTGACTGTGCGGTACAGGTGGGGCCACGGAATCGCGTTGCCTAACAAGGGGCCATGTTGTATGTCGCAGGTGCAGCAGCAGCAGCAGCAGCAAGCCCTGCGAGGCAGCCAAGCGTGTCTGCCGGTGCAGACCAGCATTTCAATGCCCCTCTACAACAGCCCCATGGTGTTCTCCCAAACGCACGCCCTCGCTGGGGCCGCCCCGCTGCCCGCCGAAATGGGCGAAAGGCAGCCACCGTCTGACTACAGCCCGGATAGGAGTTTACGGTAGGAATGCGGCGCTTGAGCCTGCCGAGGGCTGAGAGGGAGGAAAAGCGCCTTGGGCGCTAGGCTGGGCAGCCGGGAGGGCTTGGCGGTCAGGCCGAATGCATTGCCCGTGCCTCCCGCCTGCACGTGAAGCAGGGACGCTCCTTGTGGCGGTAGCTGTTGACATCCACAGAGCGGGGTTTTCACTGGGCATGTTCTGGTCACCACAGAGGCCTTTTCTGCCCTTGCTAGTCCCATATAACTTAACAGCTTTTTCGGCCCATACGTCCTGCTGCCGTCAGAGGGAGCTGAACTTGAGGCAAAACTAGCACGGTCCTGCGATTGCTTTTAGTTGCCCACGAACTCCAGAAAAGCCTTTCTCCTGCCCAGATGGAAATCGCCCTTTTCGGTGCAGCCCTGCTCAGCATCCGCATGCAGAACTCGCTTGACATCTCAGCAGACATTGGTTATGTGAAGGGTTATCTCAGGATCAGCCTAAAAAGTGCTGGCAAGATGGGGCCATTTGAAAAAAAAATAGTCGTGTGACAGCCATTAGATCATTGAACATGTTACGGTCAAATTCCCATATCATCCAGGACGGAAGTCGGCCCCCTAATGTTGTTATCGGCCGTTCACTTTTCCAATCCAGCCCATCACCACCCAAATCGGTCGTTCATTTTTCCAATCCAGCCCATCACCACCCAAGCCGGCTTCCTAAAATAGCATGCACACGCTTTCACTTTTGGTGCCGTTTGTGAGACACCTGGAACTCTTCTGTGGCGAGAGGCAAAATGTGCATAGGAGTCCAAAGCAAAAGAAAGCACAAGAGCCTTAATTTGCACGAGGGAGGGACGTTATAGTGTTAACGAGACCTGTTAACCTTTGGGAGCTGAGAGGCTTAGACATTTCAACTCGGCGCGAGAGTCTCTTTAGAGCAGGGGGCAAAATTGTGACCTTGTATTAGACACGCACAAGCATTCAGGTCCATGATCTTTGGCGGAATGAGACGGTTCGAGTGCTTCTGCCCAGATTTTATGGGGATAGGATACTGGAGATTGACTGTGAAAAATCTGACCCTAAGGAAAACAAAGTCCCTTTTCTGACTGTGTCATGTTTTCATTCTTCCACAGAATGTTGTTGGATCAGCCCGTGCAGACCCTGATGTCCAGTGCGACTGGCAGTAACCAGTCATCACAAAACAGTGCTGGCCACCAGCAAGCAAAGTAAGCCTTCCCTGTTATACTCCTACAGTAGCTCAGCTGTGAGGTTTCTCTTCAGAGGTTTTGTGCATGGGTAAGCGTAACCTCCACCGAGCAGATTTGAACCTGGGAACTCTGGAGCTTAGTGTAGGAGCCTCTACAGCTTGCACTATAAATCCAGCTGGCTCTCAGCTTAGGCTGTAGAGCTCCCTTGTTCTTATCTCTCACTATACATGGTCTAAGGGCCACTACATGAGACCGTGACCCACACTAGAGCTATGTCTACACTCGCGGCTTCTTGCGCAAGTAATATGCAAATGAGGCTAAGCGTGGAATATCGCCGAGCCTCATTTGCATACCTAATGAGCCATTTTTTTCAGAAGAGGCTCTTGCGCAAGACGTAGCGTTTACACTGCCCCTTCTTGCGCAAGAAAAACCCTCTTGCGCAATGCCGTTATATCTATTACGTTTCAGGAAGAACGGTATTGCGCAAGAGGGGTTTTCTTGTGCAAGAAGGGGTAGTGTAGATGCTCCTTCTTGCGCAAGAGCCTCTTCTGAAAAAAATGGTGGCTCATTATGGCTCATTAGGTATGCAAATGAGGCTCGGCGATATTCCACGCTTAGCCTCATTTGCATATTACTCGTGCAAGAAGCCGCGAGTGTAGACATAGCCTAGATGTATAGCTTACACAAGCTCTTCTTGGGGCTCTTTTGCAGGCCATGGAAATGATCAAAAATGTTGGTTAGAAAAAAAATCATTGGTAAAGAGAAGTCACTAGCGCTGGTGGAAACAAAAAAGTAAAGTGGGATTTTGTTTTTTGAATGAAAAACATCCCTTCCGCAAAAGAGAAATGTTTCCAAGCGCTTTTCAGTTCTCCTCCAGATTGTTCAGGCTTTTGTGGAAAACCAAAATCGCACATTTGGGGCAATCTGGGCGACTGTGTTCCACGTTCAGATGCACAAACCCCCAAGGGGTCAGGTTTTGGGTTTTTGCCAACCTCCCCAAAATTCAGTTTTTGAAGAAAACAGAAAAAAATGGGTGTTCGGATATTTTCACGGGAAATAAAACAACTTCCCTGTCCGGCTGTATGCCTGAGTGAGAGAGAGACTCACGCTGCCCCACGGCTGCCCCCCGGGTGGAGGTAACTGCTTTGCTGTGTTCTGTGCTCACCAGCTCACGTTACGGCAGCTGCACACCTTTCCGAGCGGTGCTGGCGCTGACGTTTGGTGTTATCCCCTTATATCCATTGTGGTTGTTTCAGCAGCATCCAGAGATACCGCCTCTGTTGTGCTAGGCACTGT